GAATCAAAAGATTTATTATATGACCAACCTAACTTTATATATCATATTAATATATAAAAGGATATGTGATAGAAGGAACGAGTATTTTACATCACCTACAACCTTTTAGGTCAAAGAATAGGTTTCTGAGTCATGATAAACAATTACTAGAAATGCATTCATTAATTATGGAAGCACACATATAATTCTTAGTAATTTCACTATACATGGATATCACTTTACACAATGGATGCTTTCTTGAAGTTACCACTTAAACACCCTAGAGTTCACTAATTTAAAAAATCACTGGTAGGGGTGCCTGGGTGGCTCAGTTGTTAAGAGTCTGCCTTTGGCTCAGGTCATGACCCAGGGTCCTGGGATCGAGCCCCACATCGGGCTCCCTGCTTTGTGGGAAGCCTGCTTCTCCCTCTCCCACTCCCCCTGCTTGTGTTCCCTCTCTCGCTGTGTCTCTGTCAAATAAAATCTTTAATAAATAAATAAATAAATAATCACTGGTAGATTCTTCTGTAAAACAAAAAATAAACTCAAATCAATGAATACTACTGTGTTTCATCTGTATCAGACCCGAAGTATATTGGATGTGACGGCTACAAAGATGAGCATCTGCATTAGAGACTTTTATAATCATCAGGGTTGATAACTACTAAAATAAACACATACACACACACACACACACACAAAATTCTTGCATAAATGCAAATAAATATGCTCTAACTCTGTGGTTCTCAACTCTCAACCCTGGCTGCATGTTAGAATCACCTAGAGAGCTTTTTCAAAAACAAGGCCAAGCCCCTACAATTCCCCCACTGCCAAGCCCTTCCCCCACCCCGAAATTCTGATGTGTTTATGAAGAGGCCCAAGCATCAGTATTTTTTTTACAGGGGGCCCAACTGATTCTGGTGTAGCCAAGACTGAAAACCAGGCCAGTTTGTTTCCTGGGGGCCAGTTTAAGTGTCAAAAGCTACACAACACATACACACATAACATTTTGAGTTAACTCTTGTATACAGTGTGAAACAGAGGTTCAACTTCATTCTTTTGCATATGGGTATCCAGCTACTCTAGCACCATTTGTTGAAAAGGCCGTTCTTTCCCCCATTGAATGGTCTTGACACCCTCCCTGAAAATCAGTTATCTGTGGATGTGACGGTGTATATCTAGACTTATTTTGTTGATCTATTTGTCTATCCTTATGCTATACCACACTGTTTTGATTACTGTAGTTTGTAGTCAATTTTGAAATCAGGAATTGTGAGCCTTCCAACTTTGTTGGTGGGCATGAACAAGGGTTAAGCAACTTGCTCAAGATCCCTAAGCTCAAAAGTGGCAAAGCCAGCGCTGGAACTGGAGACTTTAAAATCAAGCCAGGCTTGGGGCATGTGGGTGGCTCAGTCGCTTAAGCGTCTGACTTTGGCTCAAGTCATGGTGTCGGGTTCCTGGGATCAAGCCCTGCATGGGGTCCTGGGATCATGTGGGGTCCTGGGGTCATGTGGGGTCCTGGGGTTGGACTCCCAGCTCAGTGGGGAGTCTGCTTCCCTTCTGCCCCCGCCCTCTGCCCCTCCCCCTGCTCATCCTCTCTGTCTCTGTCTTTCTCAAATGAATAACTAAAATCTAAGAAAATAAAAATTAAAAAAAAAAAAACCTAGCCAGGTTTCTAACTGCTACACCACACTGCATCTTTGGGTACTTACTTTATAGCATGCCCTATTGTACAATGAAGACTTAACCTAACCTAAAAAGAGGTCTGGCCTTCACTCTGGGCTACTGAGAGGTGATCTCTTCACCCCTTGAATGGCCTGCCTGATGGGAGTGTCTTTGTTTGCCTGGGGCTCTGGCCGCTGGACAGCCTCACAGTGTGATTTGTGATGGGGAAAAAAAAAAAAAGCAATGTCCTCATCCCTACCTCTCTCCCCTCCCACAGGCCTCAAATCCTTGTTGCCACTTTCAGAGACAAAGGGGAAAGCTTGGATCTTTTAGAAAATATGTGTAGTTTTCGGCAGAAAAATAAAAGAGGTTCTGGAAAGCAGAGATAGTTTAGGAAAACTGCCCATTAGGGCAAACCCCCCAGAAAGGGCTACTATTGCCTACACTATGGTTTCTCCCCAAATGACTGTATTTTCCCCTTTAGTTTATCATACTACCTGAAATCCATCATGTATGGACTCAATTGTCCTAACCATCTTCTTACAAAAATACAATAGTCTAAAGACACCAGTTTCCCCTATAAGTCTGTTTAATAAAATTGTTCTTGCCAAGACCAGGACAACATTGGGTGGATTTAAGAAACCAAGTCCTGATAATGGAGATGGGAAGATAGATAATTCTGAAGTAGGAAACATTTCAGGAAGCAATATATGCCTAAGTGACTCCAGAACATATCATGTTCGAGGAGAGTTAGGTCAGTGAAAACAAAGACAAAATATGAGCAGCTGGACTAACTGACCTTTACTATCACATCCAACTCTGAATTGTAAGATTCTATGAAAACACCAAAGACAAGCCATCTCCTCTTTTCCTTTCCTACACAGAGTTCCTTCCTCCTAAGACACAGGTCTCAGGTTAGTGAATTAACATGTAAATTTTACCATCTATGCTTTTAAGACTACAAACTAATTAAAATACCTTAAGGACTATAAATCTTAAAGACTACAAACTAGTTATAATTTGAGAGTGTCTGGATTTTTTTAGGTAGGCCAAAAGTAAATCTCTTCAGTAAACAGTGAACATTAACTATGAATGTTAATCAGCATGCATTTAATCTAATGCACTGTTGAAGAGTAAGTTACTTTATTACAAGAGTCATTAGACTGCTGAGAGGAACATCAATGACCTAACTTCAATCTGAAAAGCATTTTAAAATTGGAGCAGCTGAAACAATACAGGCAAATATGTACCCTTAAACACTACACTAAAAAGAAGAAGAAAAGCTGCAAATTAATGAGCTAACCACTGATCACAAAAGTTTTAAAAATTTTCCAAGAAGAAAGAAAATAAAGAACAGAATGTAAAAACCATAAAATATACACATAATAGAAAGGAAAAACTAAGCCAATAGCTGATTCTTTTAAAAGACTAACAAAATAAACCCCTAGCAGAACAGAAGAGGGAAGGCACAAAAAAAAATAAATAAATAAAATAAAAGGGGGGACATATAACTACAGATACTAAAAATATTAAAAAGTTAACAGGATATTAATGAAAAACTTTATAGTGATAAATTTGAAAATCTAGACGAAATGTACAAATGTCCAGAATACGATCCTAAGAAAAACTGACAGTAATTTACAAGTTATTTAAACAACTGCTTGCATGTGAAATAAAACCCCAGACTTAAATGTTTAAGAGGATCTGTGTGAGGTAAATTTGTATTACATGAATTTACAAAACACTATTTAATTAAACTTTAATTTGAGAAAGTTGCAATTATTCTACAATCTACTTAGCTATTAGCAATGGATTTAATGAAGAAATAAACAAGAAAATCACAGAAATACAGAAAAACTATATGTATAACCAGAAATATTAATGAAATTAGTAACTTTATATTAACAAGAATTCCACACTTTTGAAAACTCCCTTGAGAATCTGGTGAAAACTGTAAATACTCCTATAAAACTGCAAGTAAAAACAAAGTTTTACATTAAAGGGCTCAAGGATCCCTTTTTGCCCATGTAAGCAATGGGTGGAGTTCCAGATAAATACAACTTCAGGGCACCCAAGAGTCAGTTTAAAGGTAACATAAGATAAATTTTCATCTCTGTGAGATCAAAATGAAATACAAACACTGAAATTAAAATACTGCTACCAATAACAGTTAATTGAGATACCTGCAAGACTTTTCAATGCAAAAGATTAATTTAAACGAACCAAAACAAAGAAAAAAAGTCTCTAAAGAAACATAACCTTCCAGAATAATCTCAAATGGTACCTCTCTCATTAAAAACTCCTCTGTCTACTGCTCCCAAGCCCAGAGTACTCTAGTCCTTCTACAGCACTTATATTTCTGCTATGTATCACAGGCATTGGAGTATGTGGCTTATCCCTTCATAAGAACTTAAGCTATTCCATAGGACGTTAATAATCTCACTTCAGTATTCCTGCAGTGCTCAGAACGAGCAACTGGTGCAGCCACTGAAATACCACATAGCAAAGAAGAGAGATCTTGGAAACTCACTGCTTTCAGGCATGGTGACAGGAATCCCCTGAAATAACAGAACTGCTCTTAGAAGAACATGAACAATTTACAATTATTGTTACTGTGCTGCCCATGAGGAAAAATGAAGAATTAGAATATGCTGGTTGTGGCAGTAGAAACACAGAGGAGACAGAAGCTTTGGAAAGTAAATAAATAATACATAAATTCGGCATTTGTGTAAATAAACCCCCCAAAAATGAACCTCCAACTTGGGTGTTACTTTAACAATAATCAAAGGAACATTTTTTCTCTAACTACACTTGGACCTTTTCTGGATCGGCTAGTTTGTTTGCTTAAGACATCAAAAGCTATTTTACTTGTGAAAATTTTCATCAGTTTCCTCCAGATGTAAGAGGATTTCCTCGGCGCACTCCAGGGAGGGAGCACCCGTGATCTTCTCCTTCACGCTCTGGAACAACTGCCTCAGCATCGCCTGCAGCATCACCTCGTCCTCGCCTGAGAAATGGGCCATCCTCTGCAAAATCAAACGCCCACACCCATTACTCCAGGTCGGCGCAAACGCCGCGCATTGCGCACGCGCGCCCCCACCCAGGCCTGGCCTGCGCGCTACGCCGTTCCCTGGGAGACTGCGGCAAGCGCTTGGGGGTGGGTCCTTGGCTGCCCGCGCGTTTTTCTGGGAAACAAGTCACCTTACTTTGGGGAAGCAGGGGTCCGTAAGGACCCGCCTTTGGTCCTCGTCGTTGCCGGCCTTCCGTACGAATAGAGTTCAAGTTGTCCCCGCTAACCGCAAAAATAGAGATCCCGGAAGGTTTTGACGGGTGGGCCTGACGGCGGGACGTCTGCGGTGCGCGTGACGTCAGCACGTTGACGGGCTTCCTAGGTGAGAGGGAGTGGCACTGGGGACCTGCCTGGCTCCTAAAGGAAGTTTCAGGTTCGCTCGCTGTGCTTAGCCTTGGATTGTAGATGGGAGGGAACCGACTACGAAGAGAAAGAGTTGAGTAAAAGTGAAACTGAAAATAGATTGAAACGTTTTAACTACGTGAATGGTATTGAAATGTTACAATGCGGTTTTTCTTTAACAGCCAACATCTATTGATGCCTTCCCCTTACCGAGCACCTTGCTAGGAACTGTGAAGAAGACGGCCTTCATAATCAGACACAAAAAGAAATCAACTTTTACACCACAGTGCAATTAAGTGTTATGTTAGAGAAACGCACCAGGTAGGTGTTGTGGAAATCCAGAATCCCCTTTTAACCCGATAGAAGGGTCAAGAAAAGAAGCGAAGAGAGAGGTGTACCATACTCCAGTACTCGAGTTAGTAGAGTTAGAAGGAGGAGATGAGGAGGCTAGAGAAGCAAATAGGCCACAACTGAAAGGGTCATATTTGGCACGTTTACGGGTTAGAGATTAATCTTGGAAGTAACAGGACACAATTGGATTCCATAGTGACACCATGAGATACCGTATATGAGGAACCTGTGCAGGAAACTGCAGTGCATAATCATAGACCTTCATCCAGTTTCCAATCTAGATAAATCCCCAGACCATGGTCATGTCCAAGGTAAGGAGCCAACCCATCAGAGTATTAGCATCAGATCCTGGTGTTTATGGAATAGTCCCAAGCCACTGATGAGTCACTCGTTTAATGTCAATTAAATTATCCAGCTTAAATTTTACACTTCTGGTCCAATAACATCTGATACACTTCACATGTTAGCCAGGATCAGTGATTTCCTTGATGTTTATGCTGTTACTTCCCAGATTAAAAGTATAATATGTCCTTGCCAACTGTGGCAGCATGTTTCTTGGTAAAATGTATGCTTAATCTATCAGAGTAGGCACACTTGTAATTTTATTTGTGGGTGAACCTATAAAACCCATTATGTGTGTGTGTGTGTGTGTGTGTGTGCGCGCGCGCACGCACGCATGCACAGAATCACCAGCAATGTGATAGCTACATATTTAGATTAACACAGATGAGTTGTATTGGCACCTCAAACATCAAGATTAACATAGCTAGTAGTGGTGTGATTTTTCTGAAATAGTAAGCTATTGTTAAAATTCAGAACAAAATAAAATAATACCCTTTTCTTGATTTACATAGTTTTGCATTCCTGGAAAATTTGGTGTGTTAGAACTGCCAAATATTTTTATATAAATGGAATTCATTTCTATACTCAAATACTTACCAAGAGTTTTTTCATCTACCTGAATGTCTGGCACGATCATTGAGAGTCATATAGGAACCAGAACAATTCTTTTGTGTGGAAAATTGTCTGTGTGTAATTCAAGATGTTTCATATCTCTAGCTCACACTACAAATGCCAGTAACTGCCATCTAATCATTGTGATAGCAAACATGTCCCCACGTATTTATAAAATGCTTTCTTGGGAAGCAGGGGTGATTTGAGCTGCACAGATTGAGAACCACTGTTCTAAAGGATATAACTTGGGATAAAGAAAAACAACCATAATAGCATACCTGAGATACACAAATGGAAGATAGCCAAACAGCAAGTGAGGGTGGTAATGCATTTAAGTAAATCTCAATAAATATTGTCTCTATAAAATAATAATAACCTATAATATTCTAATTTGTGAAAGTAAAAACGCATAGCACTAAAATACTATAAACAATCATGTATGAGTAGGAAGTCATGATAGGTTGAAGTATTCTGCAATTCTTGTATTTTCCTACATGGAGTTTAAGATACTGAACTTGATTAGGTAGGCATGGTAAAATTTCAAATGTAACCATTACAAAATTAGAAACAAAGAATTTAAATTCAAAAAACAGAAGGAAAAATGAAATAAGGAGAGAAAAGCAAAAATCCCATTCAATTAAAAAAAAAAGTCAAGAAGGAAAACAGAACCGTAAGAAAAATAGGAAAAATTTAAAATATACAAAGACACATGATAGAAAAAGTACAAAATACTGATAAATTTAAATAAACTCAGCCGTCCTCTTATAGGAACTGTCAGACTGACTATTAAAATAACCAACAATAGGGGTGCCTGGGTGTCCAACTCTCGGTTTGGGCTTAGGTCACGATCTCAGGGTTGTGGGATTGAGCAGCAGGCTCCCTGCTCAGTGGGGAGTCTGCTTGAGTTTCTCTCCCTCTGCCCCTTCTCCTACTTGTACACTCTCTCTCAAATAAATAAATCTTAAAAAAAATAATAAAATAAGCAGCTATATTCTATTTATCAAAACCCTAAAAACAGAAAAATTAGGACTAAAAAGGTGGGGAAAGATAAACCAGATGAATATTATCCAAAAGAAAGCTGTTGAGACTATATTTGTGTCAGCAAAAATAAAACTTAAGGAAAAAATACATTAGGGACATAGCATGGCACTTCATAATTCAAAAGGAAGATAAAATTTTTAACTTAAAGTAAGTAAGCAAAATTCTTAATCTCTCCAGAAGTCTTTAATATTTTCTAGAGAAGGTTTCTGCACATAAGATACACTTCAAAGTTGAATACCAAGATCTATTTTTTAGGTTTGCTTTTTCAGATTGTAAGAAACGGAAAAAATTTTCTCAGCAAAGTTAGTGTTTATGAAGAACTGAAATATCATTTATCATTGTTAAAGATACAAAAACCTCTCAAGATATCCCAAAACTGTTGTAGCAACCTAATTACCTTGTTGTCCATATTATAATAACCCTATCATTTTCATGATTCACTTTGTCTCTTTCTTTATCATCTCTGCTTCTACTGCTTCTGATCTTTTTTCTTTTTTTTAAATTTGTATTTCTTTTATTATGAGCAAAGTTGGTTATTTTTTCATATTTTAAGAGCCATTTAAAATCCTTATAAAAAGAATTCACATAAAGTGAACCTTTGCCAATTTTTCTTTTAGTTGTTAATCTTTTTCTTATTTTTTTTTATTATGTTATGTTAATCAGCATACATTACATGATTAGTTTTTGATGTAGTGTTCCATGATTCATTGTTTCCGTATAACACCCAGTGCTGCAGTCAATACATGCCCTCTTTAATACCCATCACCAGGCTAACCCATCCCCCACCCCCCTCCCCTCTAGAACCCTTAGTTTGTTTCTCAGAGTCCATAGTCTTTCATGGTTCCTCTCCCCCTTTGATTTCCCCCCCTTCATTTTTCCCTTCCTACCATCTTCTTTTTTATAACATATAATGTATTATTTGTTTCAGAGGTACAGGTCTGTGATTCAACAGTCTTACACAATTCACAGCACTCACCATAGCACATACCCTCCGCAATGTCTATCACCCAGCCACCCCATCCCTCCCACCCCCACCACTCCAGCAACCCTCAGTTTGTTTCCTGAGATTAAGAATTCCTCATATCAGTGAGATCATATGATACATGTCTTTCTCTGATTGACTTATTTCGCTCAGCATAATACCCTCCAGTTCCATCCACGTCGTTGCAAATGGCAAGATTTCATTCCTTTTGATGGCTGCATAATATTCCATTGTGTATATATACCACATCTTCTTTATCCATTCATCTGTCGATGGGCATCTTGACTCTTTCCATAGTTTGGTTATTGTGGACATTGCTGCTATAAACATTGGGGTGCACGTACCCCTTCGAATCACTACATTTGTATCTTTGTGATAAATACCCAGTAGTGCAATTGCTGGGTCGTAGGGTAGCTCTATTTTCAACTTTTTGAGGAACCTCCATACTGTTTTCCAGAGTGGCTGCACCAGCTTGCATTCCCACCAACAGTGTAGGAGGGTTCCCCTTTCTCCGCATCCCCGCCAACATCTGTCGTTTCCTGCCTTGTTCATTTTAGCCATTCTGACTGGTGTGAGGTGGTATCTCATTGAGGTTTTGATTTGGATTTCCCTGATGCCAAGCAATGTTGAGCACTTTTCCGTGTGTCTTTGGCCATTTGGATGTCTTCTTTGGAAAAATGTCTGTTCATGACCATCTTTTCTTAATGCCACCTGCATTTAAAACTCCCTAAGGCAAACCGTAAGAGAACCTTAAATATAAAGAACAAACTGAGGGTTGCTGGAGGGGAGGTAGGTGGGGGGATGGGTTAAATAGGTGATGGGCATTAAGGAGGGCACTTGTTAGAATGAGCACTGGCTATTATATGTGGGTGATGAATATGGATTCTGCTCCTGAAACCAGTGATGCACTGTATGTTAACTAACTTGAATTTAAAATAAATAAATAAACAAACAAACAAACAAACAAACAAACTCCCTAAGACTCTGTAGAGGATGCCTTGATGCATAACCCATATCCCTTCAGGACAAAGCACTTATTCCCTCATCTCCTTGAAGTGTTGGCTACTGATATTTTATAGCTGAATCCCTCTTCAGGAATTGCCCTGGAAGAAGGAATTGGTCATGCTCCCTCCCTGAGAAAGGCTCATGTCTGATGACCGGTCAATGTGGTATCTAATCAGCCATTCTTTTTGTCTCAGTTGGAACAACTCTGAAGCATCCCAGTTTCAGAACTCCTCATGTGATTTCCTGAAGCCTCTGTTGCAAGGGCATTACAGTTGAACTTCTTTTTTGTTTTGTTTTGTTTTGTTTTTAATATTTTATTTATTTGACAGAGAGAGACATAGTGAAAGAGGAGACACAGCAGGGGGAGTGGGAGAGGGAGAACCAGACTCCCCGTTGAGCAAGGAGCCCAATGTGGGACTCAATCTCAGGACCCTAGGATCATGACCTGAGCCGAAGGCAGACGCTTAATGACTGAGCCACCCAGGCGCCCTACAGTTGAACTTATTTTTCCTAATTTTACTTCCCAAAGTTCTACCAGATGCTGTCTCCAAGAACACACACTAATAAGTCTGCATACAAATCTGAGATTCCTAGAGTCTGTTTCTGGAGAAATGCTATCTGCTACAGAATCTGACTGGGTCAATTAGATAGTATCCCCCTATCTGATACATATTGTTCCTAATAGGATGAGTTTCTGATGATGGCATAAACTGCTGGTCTTCCTTATGTCCATGGAATTTTGTCAAGGCACTGAGTTTTGTTCCAAACATACATGGCCACAGGAGCAAGGTTAATTACCCAAAACATGGTTTTTACATGTTTGCTTTAACTAAAAACAAAAACTAGACTGTGGACATAAAAGGTGCTTGGGACTCATGGACTTGCAATGAGATAACACACGTAAAAGACTAACAAAGGCCTTAAATTTGGGGAAAGTGTTGTTGCCCAATTCTACAGCTTTGAATTGAATATTTTCATAGAACTTGGT